CAAGCCTGACCTTTATTCACACAATAACAGCTATCAAATTTTACAAGTATACATGGAGTTTCAAAACATGAACTAGTTAAGAATTGAGACAAAATCTAAAATCGTTTAGAAGTGTAAATAAACAACTGAAAAAACTCTTTGGTGGGTGGGTGGGAAGGTCAAGCAATGGCGGTCAACAAAAAACAACTGACCGCCTTACACATCACATGACCTTAACCCATCCCCAGGCCCCAGCGGTGTGTGAGAAAAACATTTTCCACTTATTTCGTTCCACTCAGCCAGTGGAAAATCACCCTTTTTAACCTTCTTTTGATCTTTCAGTATCCACTCATCCATAATTGCAACTTAAGAGTATTGTGGTTGTGTTGACTTTTCTTAGTTCCATCATAACATGACACATCATGTTTCTTAAAAGGAAATGCTAGGTGCCGAAAATCCTACTAACAGATGACAAATGCCAAGACTTTCCCTTGAGGATAAACTTCAGAACAGCACAAACCCTAGAAATTATATTATGTTGTTGTTTTCTTCTTAATTGTTTAGCTTATCAAGCATTTGAAGTAAATTATATGACTTAGTTTTGTCCTATTTAAAACAGAACAACAAAGCAAAGCTGCAGATATATCCAATCAAGTTCACCCAATCCATGAATCAGTAACTGAAGAAGCAGAAAAAAGATCAGTGGAGGAAAAGGATACTACAATTCCCAATAATGAGTTTATGGTTGATCCAAAGAAAGAGACTGTTTGTTTTGAAAATGGAGTTGCAAGTGGAATGCAGTCTAATACAGAACAAGAATCTGAGCACATCTCCAGTAATTCTAATGGAAAAAGGAAAGATAAAAATAAAAGAACTATAAATGGTTTGGTAAAAGAAAGAGTGAACAAGGATTCCAAAGAGTCACTGGTGGAAACAGTGACTGAGGCTAAGAAGATAAAACTAGAAAATGAGAATAATTTGCAAAGTAAAGAAGTGGAAGAGATTTTAAGGGGTGATACTGTAGCTAAGATGCCAAATCTTCCTCTGCAAACACAGGGTACTGCAACTGCAATGGAAACAATTTTGGCATCTTCCTCAGGGGAGATAAAGCAAGAGTGCACCAATGAATCTACTTCGTCAGGATCTAGTCAATGTGATGATGTTGGGACATTTGATAGGCCTGTTGATCATTCTCCACATAGAGATGGAGATGAAAAGAGTCATGAACTTAACAGTAAAGAAAAAGAAATGAAATCTGAAAAGAAAAATTCTGAACAGCATCACAGGAAACATAAAAAGAGGAAGGAAAGGAAGAAACACCATCATGCATCTGGTAATGACAGCACAGGAAGTGATGCTCCTGGAAGTCCAGGATATAACCAGTCACAAGGTCCATTTTCATCACCCCGACGCCCCAGAATATGTTTTGACATGGATCTAGGTAATGCTCTCGCAAATGATAGGTCAGTCACCATTGTGCTTTACTTTGTGGTGTTTTCTCTCTGTCTTGAAAGCTATTCTTTCCTTAATTTTTTCAGAGCAAATTAAAGCAAAGGAAGATGGTGGAGAACGTATTAGACTCCTTCAAGACAAAATTAATGAAATGAGGAAAATTTATAGTTCTCTTAAAGCTGAAGTTGCTAACATTGACAGAAAAAGGAAAAGGCTAAAAAAGAAGAGAGGTATTGTTAATATTATCATTTTCTTTCACCATGCATATGGTATGTAAATTGATTTTATACTTTTGTAGACTTTGGTTTGGATGAAACATACAATTTTACAGCTGTTGTTTTCAGATGAACAGCCACAAGGTAGCTGAATTTAAAAAATTAAACAATTTTTGAATCCCTCAATGATGAGGGTATACCATTGAAACCATAAAAGTTAGGGGGGTAAACTCCAATTACTCTGGAAAATAACTGTGGCAAGAGCTCATGAAGACTTGTGTAGCATGCGAGCAATTCCTACTCAACTCTCCATTTGTGGCCATGCTGACTAAAGTTCTGTATTGTCTGTACTTAACCTCTGATAGGCAACTAAAATGCAGCCAATTCCAGCTGACTCTCTTTTTTTTTTGTATTTCACCTAGTAATGATGTAATGCCTACAAAAAAAAGATGAAGCTTCTCTACACTAAGTTTGTGGGTTGGAGCACATGAACCCCTAAGCAACTGCTGAATAGATTTCTAGCTCTGGGGCCCCCATAACTGCTTGTCGGCATTCACGTTCATTAAACCACTCCAGCCACTGATTTCACTTGTTTTTCTGAATAGTGATCGAAAGGGGATAGGCAAGTGAAGTGACATTGTTGTCAGGAAAAATTCAGGGAGTACAGTTTCCTTAAAAATTAGGGAATGCCATTTTGAGTCGGAGAAAAATTGCATCTTTAAAAGTAAATATGAGCCCATTCATCCTGTTATGGAGGATGCTGACACTTAGCACTGTTTGGTACAGTTGGTATAGATTCCTGGCATTCAGGTCCAAGTCCATTTTTTTTGCCTCACAACATGTGTTTGTATTTCAGAAGCAGTGGGAGTTGAACAGGCTCAGGAAACAAATAAGTCAATGCCATCATCATCGGTATCACATACAGTTCCATCTCCAGCCATGCCACCTGTAGAATGTAGATAACAAGGGAATTTAATGGTATTTTTGCTTGATTCCAGTCGTCCTCTCTTCTGGGATAGAATATAAAAAAAATTACATTAGATTGTAATTCGTTCCAAAAGTGTCCATACTAACAAAATCAAAGATTTTGGTTATTAATGAGTAAAATTGGTATCATTTCGAAAATGTCATTACCAGTGAATCAGTAGTTTTCATGCAGGTAAATTATTCTCTTATTTTAGAACCTATGAGCAAGTATAGACATCTAAAAGAGAAATGTAATCGTTTGTCTCAAGATGTGGTCTTTCTGGATGTGGATCGTGACGTTTGGACTGCATACTGCAAATCGTATGCAGTCGAAACATTGCAATCCACAGCCCAAGTGACCAAATCATGAGGCAAACAATTATGATTTAGACGTCTAGATTATAACACCCCAGGTAGAGCATTTTGATACAAGCGCCATCATCCCTTCTCCCCTTGACTTGACAAAGGCGACCTGATGTATTTATATTAACAGGAATCAGAGGACTTGAAATCAAGCAATCTTATGTAACATGGATTTCCAATAAATGTTTTAAAGTATTAAATAAGATAAGTTGATAACGGTTGATCTTTAATTTTGTTTTACATGCACATGTAATGATGATGATGATGACAACAACCTGCTAAAGTGACTTTGTATTTGTACAATACTCTAATGTCTGTGATTCCCTGAACCACAGACATTAGAGTACAAAGTGTAGATGTAGACTGAGAGATAAATCCCAAATAACGGTTTTGTTAAAATGGCACTCCAGCATTTGAACTAACGTGCTTTATTGTAACTCCAAAGTTGTCGAAGTCTTGTCCTCTTTTCGTTGATAATCAGTTCTTTCCGCGACGTAACATTTTAATTAAGATGGACAACACCAAGTGGTTTTCATTTAACTAAATATTCTTTTCAATCCAGTGTAAAATGTCTTTTTTTTTTTCTCTAAGTCCCGGTCACAGTAATTTATTTTTTACGCAGCAGCTTAACTTTCTGAAAACTGTTGATAGGTGGAGAGTGAGTCTTCGTTTTGATTTTCTCTCAAGAATGTGATATTTTTATAAATGGAAAGGTCACTTTGGTTTTACATTTTGAAAGATATCACGTGATTTGTGACTTGTGGTAGGTGGTCGTCGCTTTGTGTATTACACAAAGCAGGTCTGACAATAATTAAAGGCTCCCTTTTTGATTAATTGCTTTCAGTTTGTGTGTAAGTAGTCATTTTGTCTTCTTATAACAACTTGCAAATTAATTCTCATTTAGGTACACATATTATGCAGATGTATTTATGAAGGCCTTTAGTGTGATATTTTATATTTAGAATTACCACGGGCTTCCTCACGCACAGAAAGGTGTACGAAGCAAAGAAATAGTATTTAAACTTTTTCATGTTGTTTGGGAAATTAAGCGTATTGAATTGCTGTTTCTGTTTGTAAAAATGTAGATTTTGTTAATTTTTGATTATTTTATTGTTAATAATTCTGATTATGATGGTTTGTAACTGATTCGATACTTTTTTATTTATCAGTTATCAGTTATCAAACAGATGAATTAGATTTACCCATTTCAAGTTTCGCCTCTATTTTTGTCTTGAAGGACAAAGAGAGTCCTCACTCTCCTGTTTCACGTTTCATATTTTTCGTTTGATATATACTTAAGGTCTTCACAAGCGTTTATTCTGTGTTAAAACCCACCCATTAATTTTGGCGCGATTTTATTGGTTACTTTACGTAACGTGGTGCAAAATCACAGGACAGTTATCACGCAATAACCCCTGTCCGCGTTGATATTTGCTAACCGATTTTTTCCGTGAAAAAGAAACATAGTCAACACAAGAGTTTCAACTTTTCCGTTCTCCTGTTTACATGGAAGGAAACCAAACTTTTTTTTTTTTTTTTTTGCTTGCGTCAATCACGCGCATTCGCCATGAGATCACCAATGGCTTTTTTACTGTGTTTACGCGTAGTTTAACTGCGATGTGAAAATTAATGGGAGGGTTATAAAATAAATAAACCCCGTTCTGGCTTGCTGGTATGTCGGCTGATTATGTCCTTGGCTGAGAGATTGTCCTCAAAATTTTATATTTGCCCTCGAAGCTTCGCTTTTCGGCCAAATATTCATTTTTCGGACAATCTCTCAGCTGCAGGCCTTATCAGCCGACATACCAGCCGCCCGAAGGGGTTTATTTACTAATTAATGTGTCTGTCTTTTGTTTTTCGTTGTGTTGTTGTTGTTTTTTATTTTGCATTTTGTGACCATCTTAATTTCTAGGTCTCCTTTTGCATGTTTCCTTTGTTACGATCCTTCGAGTCTCCTCACAGTTGTGCCCGCCTAAACAGGGCACTCATTTTTTATTGTTGATTCTAAGTAACTTAAAGGAACTGTAATTGATCGGTAAAATTCTCATTTAACTGAAATTACTTTGGTAATTAACCATCCGGGACAAATAGATAGTACCTTTCCTCATTCATACACTTAACGCTTCCATTTTGTAGAACCACGTGTTTGTTGAATTTGTTAGTATTAGGCAGTGGATAGAAGAGTGAATGTGTTTGTAACACTTTTTAGCTAGCTTTTTATTTTCTGATGTATTTTAACAGTACCTTTCCCTAATTTATTCTCTGTCAAGATTACGAATAAAGATTTCCATGATGTGGAAGTGATGAGCTTATTCCAGGTTTATGAAGTCTCAGCGATGGAGGGAATAACAGAGTGGTCGGAATATAGAGGTGTAATCGTTAGAAGGCGGAAATTGTGGTGAAAAGTTATATCCTATTGACTTTTTTCCAAGGAATTGGCCATCTTTAAGGAGAAAACTGTCAACATTTGTGTAGTTTCTTTCATTTCTAGAGCACGTCCCCTGATACCGTCTTTATATTTATTTCAGAAATTCGCCTTAGAGTAGGTGCGAAAGAGTTGCCTAAAGTAAGGAGAAACACACCCCTTTCATCGTACTCTGGCGCTCAGCTTCTATTTTTTCTTAACAATGGAGAGCGAGCCGAATTAAGCGCCGAACTTTGAAAGCCCTAAACGAGCGATTTTGAGGCTTTCTGGCAGAAAAAAAACACTTCCAAACAAGTAATGAACTTGGGGGTAGTAACTGGCTCTAAATTATCATGGCAGCCCCAGATCACCGCTGTCTGTAAGAGCTTTAGTCGAAAAGTCAAACATCAAAAGCGATTGATAGTCCTCCCTAAGAAGGTACTGGAGGCCATTTACTTTAGAAGCATTGTCCCTGGTGTTACTATGGTATGCTAGTCTAGGGAACTCGTTCCCCCCCCCTCCCACCCCCTTGCTATATGACATTGAAGTGATCCATTTAAGAGCAACGAAGATCATACACGGTTTTGCAGAAGTTAACCTGGAAACCTTGAAACCCATTCACTGGCAGCCCTTAACTAATTTTTACAAACTAAAGTTAATCTCATTCATGTACTCAGCTTATCACGGTTTAGTACCTAAACCAATACGTGATTAATTCCACAAAACTGAGCAGCGACCCTATAATCTTAGAAGAAGGGATGGATTTAAGGTACCAAAGTACAATTACTCCATAAGAAGAACAACCTTATCCTATAGAGCGCTTACCGTGTGGAATATCCTGCCTGAATCATATTAACTTTCTGTTAGCTACGCAAGTTTTGAGAAAAACATAAATAAAGATAAGACACTACCAGATAAATTAAGTTTCGCGAAGGAATCATGCCTGATTACAAACAAGGATGACTTTTATTATTTTTGAACAATTTATTCAATTAATTTAATTCAATTTATCTATTTATCCTTTCAGTCACTGATAATAAATTACAATGGGCATAGTAATTTTTACATACTCTTAATTTCTTATATACCTCACACCTGTATTTATCCTAGTTAATGCAATTAGACCTTAATGTTTTAGATGGGCAGGTCCACATCAGCCATTGGCTGTCTTTACCAACCTGCATTAACAAATAAACTGTATGTATGTATGTACGTACCTACGTACGTACCTACGTACGTACGTATGTATGTATGTATGTATGTAAGTATTAAGCTTTATTCGGAGCTGATTTTTTTTGAAGACTGACTACTAGGGACAGATTCTAGAGGCAATATATTTGAACTACATTTCTAACGGCTATGTAACTGTCACAGGATCCATTACCATAGAAACCCGAAACTACGGATATTTAAGATGGTAAGCCTGTGGTAACCTAACAGGCCAACACCACTTTCCCGTCACGGTCACGTCCGCTCCTAATAAAACAACTGTACATATCGTATTGTGCGCTTGAGAACGTCTGTGGATATTCATTTTCAATTACGGTCAAATCATATTGTAGCGGCTTCAGTTGACCGGCACTTGCTTGGCAGGTGTCGTTACCTCCGATCGAAAACTTAAACATCATCGCCTGTAACTCCCGTGAGGCTTAGCGCTGACACTGTCCATGGCAGGAAAAACAGTCACCATGTTTGACATGTTTCTCTTAATGCTGCAGAACTTGTATGGAGTTTTGGATGTTTTCCACGTTTACTAGCGGATAGCTCCAATATGAGGTACGTTCTTACACTAACATTTGGCGGGAAATTTATGACGATCCGACATTTTTCGGATCTGGTCCAGGTTTTGTCAATCAGACGCAATCCGATCCAGGTTTGTTAATCCGGTCCAATCCGTTCCAGATTTTGTCAATCCGATCATATCCGTTCCAGATTTTGTCAATCCGATTCGATCCGGACCTGGTTTTGTCAATCCGGTCCGGTCCGGTCCGGTCCGATCCGATCCGATCCGGGCATGGTTTCGTAAACGTCCGAAATCGCTTGGACCCACGACCCGCGCGTGCGACAAGTCAACGCACCGGCGCGCGTTGTTGCAACTTCCCGCCAAAATATAATCGGGAACGAAACACTTAAAACTTCAGTATGGCTGACTGTGGGTCAATTCACCACGGACAAAATCAAAGAAAAGAAAAAATTCAGCGAAAGGAAATGGTGAGTCTAACAAGACCTGAGAATTCCGCTATTCTATTTCATTTTAATTATATTTGTCTTGTCTATCCGTCGAATTTACTCGGGTGTTTTGTTTCTTTATCGTAAAGCAGAAACACAAGCTGGTCGATAGAGCAATTCAAAACATTGCAAACGCCATTAACATGGTTGTTTGTGCTAGTAAGAACGAGGATTTCAAAGCTAAGTGTTTCAAACTTTTAAAGGTAAAAAAAAAAAGACTATGGGCCAGTTATTTAAACAAAGTTTAGCCGTTCTAAGCCGTTGTTTAACAAAACCACGTTCTAAACCAACTTCAATTTAGCCGAACCTTTTATCTGAACATTTATTTTTGTGAACAGTGTCAAGAGGGCCGAAAGCTAACAGTGGAAGGATATTTATTCAGTTAAATTAACCCTCTTAAAAAGAATCATTGAGGCCCACTCATTGCGTAAACCTGCGGTTTGGGTTAGACTTCGTGTAAACAACCGGCCCTTTATTTGCTTGGATATCGCACTTTATAACTTAAGACATTTTATAGTTATCCTTGATCAATTTGATCTTAATTAATTTATTAGATTCGCCGACAGGCAGGGACACCGCAACAGCTTGCGCCAATTACTGCGGGCCTAGTAAACCCACCCATCCCACCCCAGGGGAGGACATCCACCACACAGTAATCTTTTGCGTGTGAAGTTAAGGTCTCCTACCCCTAACCCTGCAGGAGACGGGGCCAGCTACGGGTTATTCGTCCTTATCCAAGAAGACTAGAATTATCCATCCATTTCTTGATATTATAGAAAGTTAGCACATTCTTCTCAGTCGGTTATTTTAAGACCCTGAGTGTTGGTCCGGCCGGGGCTTGAACCCTTCCTCACCCTCCTGCTCAACAGTCCGACACTCTACCAATTGAGCTAACCAGGAGGCGGTTAATAATTAACGCAAATTTGAAGGAATATCCCTAATAAAACTGTTCATATAACTCTGGATTTGCATAAAAGGGAAATATACTTTTAACATTTTCAACCTTGTCTTTTAGATGTAATGACAATTCCATACGTTTTGGAAAATTTTGCTCTTGCTCAGAGTTGGTAATGCCAGAGAAAATTTATTCTTTGGACCATTGCATCACCCTTATTTTTAAAACTGATGGGTCAGACCGGAATACAGGGTTTGAAGTACGTTATGCTTCAATGGATAATACCACAAAACTGGATCCCACCTCAAACTGCAGGTCTGTAAGTCTTTCACATTTAAATACACCCATCCCACCCCAGGGGAGAACATCCACCACACAGTAATCTCGTGCGTGGGAAATTAACGTCTCCTACTCCTAACCCAGCAGGAGACGGGACCTACGGTTTATTCGTCCTTATCCGAGAAGACTAGAATATCTATCCACTTCTTGATGTAATAGAAAGGTTGCAAATTCTCCTCAGTTATTTTTAGACCGTGAGTGTTGATCCGGCCGGGGCTTGAACCCCCCGACCTCCCGCACAATAATCCGGCGCCCTACCAATTGAGCTAACCAGGAGGCGGTTAGCTTACTGAAACTAAGCAGGTTTGTGTCGAATGAGCTTTTTGTAACAGCTCCGTTTTCCAGGTAGGAAACGAGGACGAATCTAAAGACGCCATTACTGAACGATTGTGGAATATTGCGAGCTCCAGACTGAATGTGAAACAGCACCATGGCGAAAGCCAAGTAAGTGACAAATTTCAAAAGGCTTTCACTCACTTCATCAACTCTATGAATGTTTCACCCATTTTTTTTAAGCTGATAATAACAATAGTAACACTTCAAATCTGCACTAATCACTACTTGCTAATAATATCGATAAGTAATTCATTATTATGAATACAGAAACACTAAGTTTTATTGTTAAAATTTTAGTCACATAAAGAACAATCTATGGCTAGAAACTAAATGATACATTGTGTTGAAAAAAAAATATTTTCATCAATAATAATGGGAAAATGATAATTTGGATAGAAACATCAATAATGATAACAATAGTCCATTTTACAGTTGTGTGCTTGGTTGCCAAGCCTTTGAATGGGAGTGACGCAAGGGGTGACCTTGTTATGATACAAACCTTGCTGCCTTTCAAATGTAAATCACTTTGTTATCATGCGAAGTAGATACAGGTCTCTATCACAACAAGGTCACCTTCAGCCTCACTCTGAATCAAAGGCTTGGCAACTAAGTACACAACTGTAAAATGGCCTATTGTGCTTCTCATAACGATTATGGTAATTGTAATGATAATGATAATAATTATGATAATATTAATAATAAAAATCACTAATTATGGTTACAAAATTATGATTAAAACCTTAAGAAAAAACATGCTTTGTTTAAATTCTAAAATTTCGCTAGTTCCTTATTAATTTCAAAGTTGTTGCCTGTAATGTTTAGCAGAGCTTCCCGTGTAGATCATGAGCCTCTCAAGCATAGCAGCCCAGATCTCAGGGGGGCAAAGGAGACTCTGGTGCGAATCCATGTCATTGTAATACTGTAATCCTCTCCCTTCTAATAATAATAATATCCATTTGCTTCTTGAAAGGAAATTAAAAAAACTAATCCCTGTGAAGAACCAAGTGGACCCTGGTTTGATGATTTAGCTGGGGAGATATTGATTTACGAAGAACTGTACAGTAAAGAAAACTACTTTACCAGAAGTAAAGCAGATAATACAGAACCATACACTTGGGATAAGGATGATGATTCTTCATTTGAAATGTTGGCTGATGTGCAGTGGGATTTATAAGAAAAAGACATCCAGGTATATATAGGTACTTTGTACTCAAAAGTACAGGAATCAACATCACAAGCATTAGCTTGCTTTGTACATCAGCCCACTGGCAAATGTAATTCCATTCCCCAGAAGTCTAACATAGTGTCAGATAATGCTAACCAAAGAGCCAAAGCTATCTGTCAAGGTGTTCTAACACCAACTGGAACAATCACAAGTTAAAGGAATTTGTTAGAGGAGTGTCCTCAATACTTCTGTCAGAAAGCAGCCAATGACCAATGTCAAGAACATAAAAACTTAGTCTTATTCTCAATCACTTGTGAACCAACTTGATTGTAATGCAGTAAATTGAAGCAGCACCACTGTGAGGACTTATAACTCAGGTTTGTCTCAAACTTTAGTTATGAGATATTGGGTTGAGATACAGTACCTATCTCATTAGAAGTTTTGTTGTGTAGTATCGCTGAGTATTTGTACGAGTTGTGCTGTATTTTGATGAGCCCATAGGGCAAGTCAAAATACAAACATGAGTAAAAGAACTCAGCGATACTACACAACAAAATGTTTAATAGGAGATTTATTATCCAACACGCATGATATTTGTATTTATCTTGTGTGTTATTTGTACTCTGAAGCACAGTTGGATAATAAAAGCACCAAGTAGGTAAAAAAATTTTTATTTTGTTTTCCTCGAGACAAGTGAAATGGCAATTGTCACAAATGGTAGGGCACAGTTGCACATGGCATTAATTACACTTGGGATTTCTGAGACATCCAAGCCACCTCTGTCTCCTTTGTGGATAGAACCTGTGTAAAAGTGGCACCATGTTGAGCAGTCACCCTGTTTTAAGTGGTCATTTGTCGGAGTCCCAAAATTTTGTCCTCCTAAGTACTATATATTTCACCTCTATTCAGCGGTTTTGGTCACCTCTGATGAATTCCCAAAGGTATGTTTGTATTGTCTTCGACCTGTATTAAATGATCACTTAAAGCAGAACCATTCAAATAAAACTAAGAATAATCTCTCAAGTCATATAAATTCTTTATCTTCCAAAATTGATGTTAGCACTTTCAGTTTAAATGTCAGTAACAATTGCTAATTATCCTTTTTCTCTGGACTTTTTGGACAAATACTATTCACAAGTCATTTGTTGGTTAACCTGTGTTAAACAGTTAAGGTGTATTAACCAGACACCCCACCAATCCCCATGGGTGACTGCTTAAACAGGTTTCACAGTATGTAAAAATGCTCTAGCCCAGTTAAGTCAAGACCAGTTTAAATTTTTTTCCTTTATCTTTGAACAAAATTGACTAAATATTTCACTCTACACTAAAAAGCAACCTGCACTGGTAAGGGCAGCAGCAGTAACCCAAGAGGCACTCCTTGTGCCAGTTACTCAAAGCTACAGCTTCTCGAGATCTCCACTGTCAATTGTATCTTGTAAGCACAAAAAAAATGAATATCTTCAGACATCTGACATTTCTTATTTTGTTTGTTTTTTTTTTAAAGAAAGTCATTCAAGACTAAATTCTGTTAAGAAAAACACATTAAAAGTTAAATGTTTCAACTACAACTCAATAACCAGTTCAATCAATCAGAAAGTAGTGTTGCAATCAAACAATGCTGCATCAAGAAAAAGAGTGCACTATTTCCCAAAACAACAGATGAATGTCTTTTTCTCTTCTTTTTAATTGGAGCCCATATTAGGATAAAGGCCAGACTATATATTTTTTTCATCAGGGGGGAGGGGGTGTGCCATTTATCCACATAAGCAAAAATTTAGATAAGAGAGCATAAAATGCTCAGGATTTTGATGGGAGAGGTTCTGTCTTAGCTTTATTTAATTGAAGGTACTTAGATAACTGGTAGTTCTATTTTTGTAGTTTCAAAAATTTTAAGTATTAGCAAATGATGGTTTAATCTGAAGTCCTTAAACTAGTTTGCAAAAAAACAGCATCAACAATTTTCACAGTATATTCAAAGTACTTGGCCCACTCCTGTTATTTTTGATATTACACCAAGAAATATTCCAGTGGCACATCCTAAGACAGTAAGAAGATTTAAATGGCTGTACATCATATCTCTTATTAAAAGCTCTACTCTTTGGGAAGAAATTTTGTTTTTTCTTCTTGTTGTATATCTCTGGACCTCTTGTCTCAGTCTATGCAAACCTTCATCCTGGTGATAAGGAAATAATTGTATTAAAATATTAATTTTGATGTGGAAATTTTCATTCTGTTTGACAAAACCTTGGAAATTAGGACTTGGGTAAGAAGTTTACTGTATAAGTACCATAGAGTTACAATTTTAAAGCTGACTTTAACAATAAATAACAAACACTTTGGGCATGTAAGGGTGAAAGGATGCATTGTCAACTTTGATGGAATCCAACCAGAAAAAAAGTGTGGAAATCTAAAATCAGGCGAAGTGGATTTCCCTTGTGAAAAAAAAAAAAATTTAACCTACTTTATTGTGACCCCAATGAGTCTTTTGCTGAGCAGTGTTTCACACAGGTATTAGCAATGCATTATTAACAAATGCACCTACCTGAATAAAGGAAGAGCATTTCTCCATTATAACTGGAACTACTTCAGTTAACAATTCTACTACATATGGCTTCACTAGTGGGCGGAGCAATGAAGGATTTATACCAGCTTCACATAAAAGCTGCCCTTCTGGGGACATCAACAAAGAATGAAGCTCTGTGGTAATAAGCTGATCAACTGTCTCTGACTGTAAAATTCTCTGCAGCTGCCCTTCAATATTTAGACGAATTATTTGCTGGTTTAGTTTTTGAGCACTGTATAATTCAAGAGATGTCTTCTCAAAAAAGATGTTGATAACTGAACTCTTCACACTTTCACAAATATCTTGATGGCGATGACAAACAATCCTGGTGAGAGAAAAAGATTTTTGGTCATTCTTTGAAGATCCATAAGAGGGGAGCAAAGATAAATTATGAAAATTGTCACAACATGAGGCCTTGTGCAATAAAAAGACTGATCTGAATGACATGTATTGTTTTATATAGTTAACATAAAATTGCCTATTAAGTTCCAAATTCAACATGAGACTTGTTAATAACAAAGAAATTTAAGTTGACTGCAATAAAGAAAAATTGATGTCAGTAGCAGAAATAAGAAACTGGAAATTAAAAGAAGATAAAGGGCACATAGTTTTACTTTAGACCATAACTAATAAAAGCTTGCAGCTTGTCACATGGCTGCCAAACACTTGTTGCCAAATTGACAACTTAAGCTACAGATTTGGTAGCCAAAATTTTTTCACTCAACACAGTCACCATGATGGTGGCAACTTGGAGTGATAAAGAGATAAAAATGATATCTTCTTCTCATATGGGATGATACCAATTTTGGAAGTTTTTGGCACTTTTTGATTTGAATGAATTTACTAAGGGAGAATAATTTTTTATTTTCTGCCAGAAATTGAGAAAAGTGGTAAGTGCACAAAGCTTTAGTCCATCCATACGACCAAGGCGAGTCCATGACGTGTTTATTAAAATTGGTAAATTGGAAGCTTTAACTGAAATAAACTAATTCAACTCATCAGTTAATAAATAGTGAGAAAAATGCAAGATCATCTAATTATGTCATCACAGAGCCAAACAGTAAAATAAACTTTCACATCTACCCTTCATTACTCATTTGAATTTCCTCACAACCTCTGTACAAAAGTAACTAAGTAGAGATGGATTTGCGTAGACTGATGGTGGTTGAAAAGAAACAAACAAACAAACAAACAAAACCACAAAATCATTAACAAAAACTAGTTCTATGCCGGACTGACCATAGTCTTCATTAGTCCCTGATATATATCTAGCTGGAGCAGTTGCTAACAAGTTTCCAGAGTGCTATTATGTTTTGCTTATTAAAAAATTTAATCTTACCCACTTCCAAGTATACCAGGAACTTTCTTAAGAAATAAAAACACTGCTGCATAATTGACACAGCCTCCTGTAAAACCAAATGTGCCACAAGAGAAAAGGTATTGTGCTACATCATGCCACTCAGTAGAACTGGAATAATACGTCAGTGATAAAGAAAACAATCCAATGATACTCAAATGTAGACAGACTAAGATACATGCCACACCAGTGCTTGATGTCCAGTGGAAAAATACATGAAAGAGAAGAGGAAGTCTATTTTGTATTGCTGCATCTTGTCTCTGAAGAATTGGGTCATGAGACAGCATAACACTGGCATTTATCTGTCAAGAGATCGAGCATGCCCAATAATTATACTAATTAGATGTCATATATTTAGTGAACAGTATGTGAAATGCTTATAATATAAATTAAATACAGTAATCATTTGAATGATCACTATAAAACATCACTGCTACAACAATAGATGGTGGAAAGGAGCGAATGGGCGCCGAATGAGGTATAGGTCACGTTATCTAAAATAATGATACAGCTCCGCGAGTGTAGTTTCCGTAAGAAAAAATCAATATATCTACCTATCATAAAAAATTTTCCAGGAATAGAAATGATGGAACTTGTTCTGGGATTCAGGTATCACTCTAGCTTACATCTAGCAAGCTTAATGAATAATGTGGTACCGAGGAACTGAAAGTCACATGCTTACACAAATATTATGTCAGCTGATCAGTCAACATTAGGTAATATACTAACTAGCTGTACTATGACACTAATTATCAAACCGATGTGTTTAAAAAACCCTTAATTATCATGAAAAATACTTCATTTTAAGACTATAAGCTTGAATAGTAGTCTCTCTGTTACCTATATAGGTCTATTATAGGACAATGTCTTACCTCACCCACTCCCAGTGGCGATCCATTTGAAGGTGTTTCACCCACCGATGTCAGCTCTGTTCTTTCCGCGAATGAACTATCTACAAACGTTCCATAAAGTTGTTTCGACATCGCATACTAGTATCTGACTCATCTGCACCACTTAGAACGAGTTTTTCTGTTTTCATGAAAGAAAGCGAAAGAATATTTAATTCGCACCGCCATGTTGGAGTCTTTTGAGACCCAGTCGCTGCCGTGACTTTCTACTCAGGAAGGCCTGGGAACTGCGGTTGTCTCTCACTCCATAAGGCGGCTGGTCTCTCATATACCGGGTTCTGAAATAACTAATAATTAACAGATGGATGTACCAAAAGGGTAAAGTGAATGGGTACAGAGGCTCAGTGAACAGTGAAATCAGTGGCCCATCCATGTGGGGGAGTGATGGTGTCCATCCATGTGGTGTAGTGATGGTGTTCAGTAATAAAACCATTTAAGTGTTAGGTGTTCTTGATCTTGCACCCCTTCACCAGATCCATCCATGTGGTGGAGTGATGGTGTCCATCCAGGTGGTGGAGTGATGGTGTCCATCCAGGTGGTGGAGTGATGGCGTTTAGTAATAAAACCATTTAAGTGTAAGGTGTTCTTTGTAAGGAAAAGGGTTTTTAATGAGCATCATGGGTATTTTTGTTTTAGTGCTTTAACGCAAACTTACAGGTTTATTTTCGATTTTAATTGACGAACAGTAACCGTGATCGAACTTTTATTCATTTTGGTAAGAAGAAACGGGTGCGAGCTGCTAAATTAGGGGCAGGCAATTCGAACATTTCAGAATTTTACACTAAAATATTCTTAAGTCAAGGAAAACACGTCTTGTTATTGATTGAAGAGTCAACAAATACAATTTCCCCTGAGTTACTTGTGTTTCAGAAAACCATTAGTTCATACATTTGATTTTCCATTATTTTTTGGCGACTTTTGTTGCAACGTATTATCCTTGAAAACTCGAGAATTTCATACAAACTGTCCCTGTACTCTGTGTTTGTCAACCAGTAGATCAAAGGATTGACGCCCGAATTGAACATAGTGAGAATCCCCCCTATAATATGTACGGGGCTGTCAATACTAGTAATGCCGAAAGGAGACAGAACATAAATAGCTTGCGCAGGTAGCCAACACAGTGTTAGAGTTACACACGCCACGGCGCACATGCGCAATAGCGCTTTGTGTTGTTCTCTTTGTCGCTTACGGTAACATCTCGCCACCGGTGATGTCTTGAAAAGCAATACAATGTGACAAAATGACGCCCATGTAATCATACATGGAATGCAAACCCCTATAATAGAGTTGAAAAATATTATTATCGTTTGAGTTATTTCTTCTCCATATGGTGCTTTTATCGGAAAACATTTATTTCCCAACAATTTCCATTCAAAGAACTTGTTACTCTTTGAAATGCAGGCAAACACCCAAATAGCCAAAATGTATAGAAAAATTTTTCTTCTTGTGAAGTAAAACTTGTAAATCATTGGTCGAAAGATCGAAAACCATCTCTCCACGGCCAAGCACGTGACTTTCAACATAGAGACTCTCCCCATTGTAAAGAGGAAATATCTACTGCCAAACAAGCGGCAAAAAATGTCGCCAGCCAAAGCCACTTGGAATTGGGAAGGATGAAATGCTTACAACATATCCCGGAGTGAGAGGAATTAAAATCCCTAATGAACATAAGTAAAAGAAAAGAAAGGAAATTAGATGACCATTCAACGATCAAAACTATACCGTTCTTCAAGAAAAATGAGTGCATAGTAACACAAACGAACATTAGATTACCTGTTAGTAGATCTGTAATAGCAAGCGAGAACAGGAGAATGTTGTGCGCTGATTTCAACATGACAGGCTTCCTTATCATAACCACACAGAAGAAAAAGTTTAAAAACACGGATAAAGCAGCTATTGCTCCAAATATCGCTCGTGTTCCTCCCGCCTGCGGCAATTTAACAGCTTCAACAGTTGATGATGTATTCCCGTAACTCGTATTTCGCCATTCTGAATCAGTCAGACTCAAGCTTCCCATTGTTAACATTTAGTATAAAGAAGAAGCGGCGCTCATAAATTGTTATCAGTACCCACTAGTCAACAGATCGATGAATAAAGAAATTGCCTTCACGGAATACTTATGCTTACGAAGGTTTTGCTTTCTCTCGGGACTCCACATCAATTGCATAAGTGTGCAATGTAATTCTTCCTAAGTAATTCAAACAAAATCCTCAAAATGTAGGGATGATAACACATCTGTCATGGGTATTGACTTAGTTTCACGCCAGCCTTTATTCCAGGTAAGGTTCAGTGAATCACGATAGCAATCTTTTTAAAGTTATTAAAATATTGCTGCAGAAAAACAGGGACAAAAAAAAACGCTTGTTATCTGTTTTCGCGTTAGATGTATTGTTTCTGTTGTTTCTTTAACTTTACTAATAATGTTTTCTGCTACCAGTATTTACTTTTTCACAACCATGACATTTATAAGAGATATCCGTTAGTATACCATTAACGTTTAAGCCTTTTTGGTAAGAACTTGGAGTTTCGCCAACAGACTGAGATTTTGAACGTTGTTGTTGCGATCTCATAAGTGAGAGATTAGGAACACGGGATATTTTCCACAATAAGTGTGTTTTCAAATGAGGAATAAAGGAACGCGTGATACAAAGCCAAACTACCGTGCATAGTCAACCTTAGAACAGCCAAGTTAACATTTTGTCATTTTTTACAATTAGCAAACCTCACTCACTTGCCGTATAGCATGTTAAAATTTTCAGCATAAATTTGAAGCCAAATTTGACGACTACAACTTCGAGACTAAAAAAATTAAAATGCCTCCCAGCCGGTTTGTTTTTAATTAGAAATGTTGACACATCCCCTTAAGATATGGAAATGTTAACGAAAGATACAACAATAAAATTGCAAGTGTTTAAACAAATAAAACAGGTTGGGTCGAACCTTTTTATTATCGACATTGAAGCTGATTCAAAGTAAAACTTTATTTACATTGGTTTTTGGTTTCAGTAAATATGACTCAATTTTCAGAAAAACTGTCCAAAACAAAGAGGTGATTGCAAAGAATACCTCGGGTTAATGTGACACTTTGACTATTTACAGCACAAAGTTAGATAGGAGTTAATTATTAATAGCCATCTTTGTAAATAGAATAATTTTTTAGCCATTTGTTCATCACAACAGTCTTCTTAGTACATTGTCATTATCCTTTATTTTTTTGTCGTGATTACTGAGCGCCAATCTTCAAACTCTTAATAGTCTACGAGCAAACATCAAAGATGAGTTCAGTTTGAAGCAGTCAAGAAATTTTTTACAAGCATTTATATTGATGGATAGAGTACAGTTACTGGTGCTCGGCTTGGCATCTTAATTTAATATCAAATTTCTTTCCTCTTTGTTTTCCCGATTTCCATTGAGTATTGGAAGAAGAGCTGATGCAGTAGATGCTGAGCTGATAAGATTCTTAAACGTATGATGCACGATCCTCGCAGTAGAGAGCGCTATTTATGCAATAGCGAAAAGATTCGTATATAGCATTGTTTTTTCTCGGTCATATTCCCCATAATTAATTTTCACCATTCGGTTAGAACAAAAGTTTACCAACAGACATTCAGCAGATGCTGACTATGGTGTTTCTTTTCGGGACAGTGAGTGTGAAGCGATTGGCTTAAGGTTACCGTGCACTTTCAGACCGACCATTTTCTTGAAATTTTGATTTTTAGGTTAATGTATGGGTCTAGGCATTAACTTTCATCTAAAAAAATGCTGAAAAATATTAAATGACAGCGGAGAAAATACGGTTTTTCGTTTTTACCGGAAGTAAAACTTTCGTGTCTGATTGACAGGCCTTAGGCAACCTGTTGACGTCAACCAACCAGTCAACCTCCTCTGCTGAGGAGTTGGTCATTCCACTCTGTGATCTTGGCGTGATGATGGTCGAAAATCCACTTCTCAAAACGTGTCGTGATCATGCTTATCTCTGGCACTGCCCGTCCAAATCTGTGGATCATGTCACCCAAACGACATGGGTATGCAAATCTTTTTAGCAACAGTCTCTCTATGCGGTTGGCCTTAGTTCGTTGGTGGCAGCACAGACTCGCAGGCAATCCAAGGGCATCAGCAAGTCTGACAATGTCCATTTTTCTTACTCTAAACTTATGAAAGCACTCTGTTTCGTCCATAGAGTCGAGATCAAAACGATCGTAGTCGGCGTGAGGAAATGATGGATTTTTGGAGAAACTAGCGTCATACAACAATAAAAATTATTCTTCGGAAATAAAATGATGACTCCATGCTAGAGAGAGCATATCTCGAGCTTCCTTAAACTATATATAAACTAGACATCGTCAAGATCGAGACCACACAAAGGATGTGTTTACATTTTCACGGTCGACCGACTACGTCTGCAAATTAGCGTAATTGTTTTGCTGAACGCAATCATGTCACGAACTCCGGTGGCGACAACGTTGTTCCCAGGTTCCCCCTCCTGCAAACGATCGAACGTCCGTGACACCCAAAGTCATCGATGCTTACTTAAGGTCCCTAATGAGAGAACGTTCGTCTTTCAAGCACAAGCATGGTCAGGTCCACAGTTAGTTACAGTTATACGTTGATAGACCTTAGAATTTTGGTAGGTTTTAGTTTACAAAGATTATGGGGTGTTCCTCAAGGTACAGTCCTGGGGCCGGTCTTATTTTCTATTTTTATTAACGATATCAAAGCTGTTAATACTAATAAGAATCTTCTAGTTAAATTTGCTGATGATATAACTATTAGTTTACCAATCGAGGCAAATGTAGGTTTAGATGAATCCGAAACGGAAGTCCTATCCTTTTTTGAATGGTCCGAGAAGAACTGTATGAAAGTCAACTTGACGAAAACATGGGAACTTCTTTTACGAGGAAAGACTTCCAAGACGCCTCGACGGGGCCATATTTTTTGCAGCGTTTATTCGAAATTTAAATCTTGCCGATAAAGGTCCAATTGTAACGATTTTTTTGTAATTAGTGAAAGCTCTCCCCCATCTTGCAACATTGCAAATTATCCCAACCTCTGTTAAGGTGCGTAGGAAACACCAAACCGAAAAACAAGCTATACCAAACAAAAGAGTATAATTCAAGATAGTGCCGGGAAGTTATCAACGGATTTAACTATCATTGAACCAATAGTTTGAAGAA